TGTAAAATAATATTTATATTGTATATATGTATAATATATTTTATTATGTATATATTTATAAAAAAATAATATGTGTGTTTATTTGTATATATATGTGTTTTATGGTTAAAATTTTTGTGTATTATTTGTTTATTTGTATAATTTTAAAGTGTTTTTATTTTATATTTTAAAATGTTTATATAATTTTTTTTATTTTTGTATATTATGGGGGTTTTTTTTGTTTTTATATTTTTTTTTATTTTAAAATTTATTTGTATTTTTATGTTTTTTGGGTTTTGATTTTTGTTTTAGGGTTTATATGGGTTTTTTTGGGGGGGTTTTTTGTTTATTAATGGGTTTTTGTTAATTTATTAGGGATTTTATTGGTTTTTAAATATTATTTATTTTTTGTATATTTATGTATTTTTGGGGGGGTTTATTGTTTATATGAATATATAGATTTATGGTATTATATTTGGGGAATTTTTTTTTAATATGTTTTTGGTTTTTTTGTTTGGGTTTTCAAACCCTGTTGGGTTTTTTTTTGGTTTTTTTGTTTGGGTTTTTTCGGGGGGTTTTTTTTTTGGGGACAGTTTGCTTGAGTTCAGGTTTTTTTCTTTTTTTATTTGGGCCCCTTTTTAACTTGAAAAAAAAACCCCTGTAATTTTTTTTAAGTTTTTTTTTTTGGGGGTTTTTTAAAAAATAAAAAACCCTATTTTTGAATTAATTCCTGTGAGTCCTCATGCTTTTCATCTCGGTCCCTCACAAGCAGCAATAATAGAAATCTGATGATCTACCTTGGAGTTGGAGGTAAATTGATCATTATGGTAAATATTATGTATGATTTTTAATATATACACTCATTTATTTATTAAGCACCAATTTAAAGCATCATTTTAGGGTTTTGTACAGATAAATTCTGTCAGATCATCCAGATAGATTGAGTAAAAGTTTTCTATCTAAGGGAAACCAGCTGATTGCTTCCAGTTATGCTCCTAGATGAGTATGTGGCCACAACAGATATTATTATTATGTCATTGACTTTACAGCAATCCCTCCTGCCCAGCATGCATGTAAATATTTACAGGAAATATTTGCATGCTAGTTTTTACCTGATTTTTACGGAAGAGGATTAGGGCCACCGGAAAAAAAAAAAGAAAAGTTAACTGATTTTTACATTTTATTTCAGTTTAATATGGGAAAAAAGTCAGAATTTCAAATTTTTTCTCAGAATTCTGACTTTAATCTCAGAATTCTGACTTTTTTCTCAGAATTCTGACGTTTTTCTCAGAATTCTGACTTTAATCTCAGAATTCTGACTTTTTTCTCAGAATTCAGACTTTTTTTCTCAGAATTCTGACTTTAATCTCAGAATTCTGACTTTTTTCTCAGAATTTCAATTCAATTCAGTTTATTTATATAGCGCCAAATTCACAACACATGTCATCTCAAGGCACTTTACAGTTCAACCAGATCATACAGTCAAATTGATACAAAGTTTTCTATCTAAGGAAAACCAGTTGATTGCATCGACTCATTGACTCAAATACAATCCCTCACACTAAGCATGCTTGTAGCGACAGTGGAGAGGAAAAACTCCTTTTTCTGACTTTTTTCTCAGAAATCTGACTTTAATTTCAGAATTTTGGATCTTAATTTAGATGGGCACCATGAAGGAAGAGACGTGGGAGCACTCAGCTTCACTGACAAAGATGTGAGTTGTTTGAAAGGGCCAGTGACACATTGGTGGAAAAAGATCGAATTAGGCAACTTTTTACGTGTCAGAGGGTTCCCCTCATTAATGGAGGAGCAGAAGGTGATTAAAACAAGAGAGCTAGTCTCTAAAACAGACATGGCTATGGCTTGATGCTAACATGTTTGCTATCTGTCAGAATTCTGAGAAAAAAGTCAGAATTGTGAGAAAAAAGTCAGAATTGTGAGAAAAAAGTCAGATTTCTGACTTCTTAATTCCATGTTAAACTGAAATAAAATTTAAAAATCAGTTAACTTTTTTTTTTTCAGTGGCCCTTATCCTCTTCCGTAGATTTTCAAGCATAGTGAATCTAGACACAAAAACTGCTACCTCTGTCGCACCCAGAATTCTTTAGTCTTTTATCATGAGCATGATTAACCTGACTCCGCCAGATGGATTTGCTCTGCATATCCATCTGGAAACCTTCCGTAGAATACTGGTTAGCTGATTGGCCTATGTTGGTGATAGACGGGCCAAATAAACCAATCAGATCAACGAAGCATATGACGTACTAACAGAGCGACGACGAAGAGGAGCCAATTGATAGATCAAACTCTTGCCGAAACCAGTCGAGAGAAGAGCAAAAACATCTTTTCCTCTGAGAAAAGCCTCCAGAGCAGTGTTTTGCTCTTCTTTCAGTGAAGAAATACTCTGTAATTCTCATAAAACTTGCTCGATAGCCACGCTAACGCTAGTTTCATTGGCTGAAGCCGCCATGTTCTTTAGACTGAACTGTCGCGCTTCTCGTTGCGTCACACCTCAACCCGCCTCAAAGCCAACGCTGATTGGACGTTATTTTGGTGAACGGCTCCAAATTTTCTTCAATGGAGAGTCTCCAGACTGATCTGCGAGTGAAATCTTGAAAGCTCGCGAGATCAGGATGGTCTCATGACGCTAGAGCTTGATGTCCACTACTATTCAGCTCATTTTGCTCATGCAAACTGATCTATACCTGATGTGTAGATAAGTTTTGCAATTGCTAACAGTTTGTAGGCACAAAGCTTTTTTGAGGGTTCTTGTAAATCTGACAGTCATGCATCCTTATCCAATCATGTCACAGACTCTGCATTGCACTGATTACACCATATCAAAAATACTGCATATTTGGAACATATATATTACTGTTCTGAAATTCCACATCAATGCGGGGGTTTTTTGCACAATTTTTTTTCACCCACACTGTTTACTAGGGGTGTCAATAATAATAGTTTTGTATCGATGCATCAATCCAACAGCCGACGATCCGAAACTTCATGAGTTGTTTTCCGCAATTTCGGTCATAAAACCAAAACAAGTCTGTGGCACTGTTTGCGGTCAGCTACAGTTTGGGAGAGGTGCAGCAGAGCGTCTGTGAAGGGGGGGAAATGTTCATTTAGTGTCTAAAAGCTGTACTAAACTAAATTTTCTTTTTCTGTGTATACAAAATGACAATAAAAGTTGTCAAAGTCTAAGTCCAATCGATGTTCAGAGCAGCTGGACAGGATCTGTTGATCTGCATGTTGAAGCCGCCGTTTAAAGGCAAACAAGATGGCTGAAAGATCATTAAGTTGACATTTTAGCACAAACGTCACAAAACGCAGAAAGGAAGAAGTATAGCAGCCAGAAATAAACCTTTTAAGTCAGAGTTTTGGACCAGAACCTAATATTCTTCATGCCAGATGAAGACGATGTGGCTCCTTTCTTTGCATGTTTAATTTACACAAAAATGTCTGATAAAGTGAGACTTTCACACTTGTGGAAAAAAAGAGAGAAGAATGTAAAAAGCGATGACTTCAGCTAACAATGTATAATAATTTATAAAAGAAAAGACTAAATATACATTTAATCACACGAATAATTTAAACTTGTGAAGAAGAGGAATTGTTATCTTATTTTCATGGAACCACAAAAAAAAAAAAAACTGAGTAGGTTAACAAGTCTGCAGGTTGAAGACGTGGATTCAAATAACTCTGATCTAAACCGTTTGGGTCTATAAAGGTTTTTTTTTTTTGTATTTTTCTTTTCTGACTGATTCCTTCATCCTATTGTCTGTATTAGAGCATCATCCTCTGTCTGTTGCCTGGTTTGTTTCAGTTTCATTTTCTGCTCCCTGCTCATTACTGATGTTAATTTGCTTAGCATGCCACCTGGAAACTCTGTATCATTAACACAGGAAGCGGGGTGCTGCTGCCTAACAGCAACCTGCGCCCCACCTCTCAGATGGCTGAGCGACGGAAACAGTATCTGCTTCAGCTGAAAAACAGCTTCCTTAAAGGAATAGTACACCCAAAACATGATTAGCCTTCATTTTCTACTCACCCCCATGCTGAACAACACTCTGGAGTACTTTTTTGATATCTCAAATGCATCTGGAGATCTGGGAGGCTTCTTACTGTCTGCTGACATTCTAATAATGGAGGTCTATGGCGCCCGAGACAGAAAGGTCCATAAAAGTCCACAAAAAACGTCTCAATATTCCTCCATACTGCTCGTCCAATGTATTCCAAGTGTCCTGAGTGGGTAGCGTCCATAATTTACTCGAAACGAAGTCATTTAGAATGTTTTTAGAGCATAAACACTAGTGTATAGGATTTCCTAAAAGCGCGTTCACGAGTCTACGGAAACCGCGGCAGACCAAACCAGATGACTTTCTGCAAGAGCCTAATATTACAAGAGACCATTTATAAACAGACGCCTCAGGATATCTCCCAATTTTGGCTTCTTAAACAGCAAATCATTGCTTTTATTCACAGATGCGGTTTAATTTCACACCAAGTCTCAAAGTTGACGACTTGTATTTTAATCAGGGGCTCTGATTAAAAGGGAATCTGTTAGTGCGGCTGCTGCTGTAGGTTTTGATCCTTTGGCTCTCTGAGTCTGCTCTCTTGAATAGATGGTAAATTAAAGCAGCTTGTTGGGATTTCTCTCCTCATTTATATTCAACCTTGTCTAAAAGAGCCGCTACAATGTGGTTTAATGTGCAATATAGAAGGGAGATGAATTAAACCCTATATTCAATTAAAGTCATACAAAGGCCGTATATCAAGTGTTGAAACATGCAGCGACCTCCGTTTAAAAAGCTTAAAAATAAATTCATCTCCTGTAACATCTGGCCTTTATTTGTATACATAAAAAATCCTTGTACTTTTTCTCAACTGTGACTGATTTGTTAAGGTTAAGTTAGAAGTTAAATAAAAATCAAACCTTATAGGCAGTACTTGACATTGGTCAGGCTGGAGTCCATCTTTGCTAACCCGCCACCTTTTTTATCTCGTGTTTGTTCATCCAGACTGCGAGCCAGAGGAAGTGTCTGACTGGTCCTTCGATGAAAACTGTCTCTTCTGCTGCTTAAGACGTGAGAAAAACAAGGTAGGTCCAGTACTCAAGTTGAGGGGGATGAGGGGGGGATGGCATCCCCGTTTTAAAAAATTCTTTAAAATCATCGCCCTTCTTAAAGGCATACTATGCAACATTTTTCAGTTAATTAATGTGTTCCATAACATTTTGGATGATTAAACGAGTCACTTCAGGTCGAACAAAGGTTTTCTCGGCCGCCCTGGTGGTCTGTAGGGGAAATACCGTACTTGCATCGCGAGAGTCGGTCTTGCTTTACGGCGAGAACTGCTACACGCCCCCAGTGAAAGGCATGCTGGTTGCTAGCGCAGTGGCGATATTTGTGCAGTTATCATGGCGGAACAAACGAGAAAACAGCGAAAGCCCATGTCGGAGCACAGAAATCAGAACCCCCTTCCCCCAACGACAGTCGGATAAATGTATGGGAAACTCCAACTTGGCTAACTACCAGGGGTGGAACGGTTCACAAAATCCACGGTTCGGTTCGGTTCACGGTTTCGTGGTCACGGTTTTCGGTTCGGTTCGGTATATGTTTATTGTTGCACCGAAAAATAAAAAAATTAATAAAAATTCTAAAAATTAATGGAATTTTTTTTTCTTATGAAATCAATGAGAAAAAAAAATGAATTGTAATTATTTTTAATGATTCGCGGAAACCCTGGATCATTTCCGCATGTTTTGCTGCTTTGAATTTAATCATCTCGCATCGCATGCCCTCTACGATCTTCAAGGAACTCGGAGCGGAGCGGACAGGAGCCACAGTGGAGGCTGTAGCTTTGCTTTGTGCAGGCGGTCTGGAGCGCAGCGGGGCGGAGCGCTGACGGAGTATGTGGGATTTCGGGGTTAGCATGACATGTTGGTCATGTTGCTGTTAGCATAAACAAAACGTGTTTTGTTTATGCTAACAGCAACAGCAAAGTCAGAATTCTGAGATGAAAGTCAGAATTCTGAGAAAAAAAGTCAGAATTCTGAGATGAAAGTCAGAATTCTGAGATGAAAGTCAGAATTCTGAGAAAAAAAGTCAGAATTCTGAGATGAAAGTCAGAATTCTGAGATGAAAGTGAGAATTCTGAGAAAAAAGTGAGAATTCTGAGAAAAAAGTCAGAATTCTGAGATGAAAATCAGAATTCTGAGATGAAAGTCAGAATTCTGAGAAAAAAAGTCAGAATTCTGAGATGAAAGTGAGAATTCTGAGAAAAAAGTGAGAATTCTGAGAAAAAAGTCAGAATTCTGAGATGAAAGTCAGATTCTGAGATGAAAGTGAGAATTCTGAGATGAAAGTGAGAATTCTGAGAAAAAAGTGAGAATTCTGAGAAAAAAAGTCAGAATTCTGAGATGTTAAACTGAAATAAAATGTAAAAATCAGTAAACTTTTTTTTTTTTCAGTGGCCCTAATCCTCTTCCGTAAGTTAGTTATACGTCATCCTGAACACCTAAATTCGGCAAATGATATATCATTCCAAAGGGGTGTACCCATTCATCGCCGTTAATTTGCATGTTTTTAAAATAAAACTCAGGCTTTGTTGGGCTGCTGTATAAAACCTCAAACTCAACGCTATTCCTGACATTTTGAATTAAAAATGGGAAGGCTTCAAACTTGGAAAAAGGTCCATTGGGTTGCTTTTTGACTTTTTTTTTGGTATGACGATGACCTGCATGACTGAGAATCTTCACCAGCAATATAGAGAAATGAAGGAAGTTATATTTGATCATTCTTAAACCTTGTCAGTAAGGTTGGTGTTCACCAAGAAAACCCACTGGTTTAGTTTATTTTGTAAAATCTGAATATTTGATTTAAGTGATGAAATAATAATGAACATTCTTCTGAGATTTTCTGAAGACTCCTCCCACAGACTGATTAATAACAGTGGTTGGTCTTCAGGAATCTGCCTTTAGACTGCAGGACATATCGTTGTTATATAATAATTGCTTCGACCAATAAATGATAATGTTCTATAAACCTATTAACTTCTAGCCCAGGTGCCATTGCTGTCCATGGATAGACCAGCACTACAGTCTTCAGTTTTTTAAATAAAACAGAACTAACTGTTTACATGTGTGTGTCTTCAGCAGCACAGCGTGGAAAACGGTGGAGGCGGCCACGTGCTCTTGGAGTGCGAGGACTTCAAACAGGGGCAGTCTCGGATCAGCCGGCTGGAGAGACAGGCCCGAGATTTCCTCAATGCTGTGTTCCACAAAAAAGGTGAGACACAAGCCACGCCTCATCCATCCAAGTTATAGTTAAACTTAACCGGAATATATTTTCACAATCCTATTTTCTGTTCATAGATACAGCTGTGCTTTTTGTTTTAAATAAGCTGTCATTATTTTGACAGGATGTGAATGTAAAGATTATATGATCCTATATATCCCTGTTACAAAAATCCATTAAAAAAAAGAAAATATTCGGGCAGAAATTGAACATATGCTGGACGCTGATGGGGATTTTTTATTTCTTTATTTATCATATTAAATTAAGCATTCACTTCCGCATTTTTTGATCCTATGAATTTAATAATAATATAACACGTCCTCTCTTCGAGCTCCGAGGAACTAAGTGAAAACTATTAATTTAATACTTTTTTGCATAATTCTGACTTGTTTTGTTGGATAAAGAAGCAAAATAAAAAGCTACTATAAAAGGACATGATGACATAAAGCAGATATTACTCAGAAGATCAAACCTTTTTAAGAAAAGGGTCAGACAAGAAAACATATAACAGTGAATTGACTGTTTTTTGATAAATTAAAAATGTTCTGCTGTTCAAGTGTTTTTTTTTTTTTTTTTTTAACCCAACTTAAATGTATCATAGTGATAGACTGAATACACTGGGCCTATTTTCACTGATACTAATCTAGAATTTTCTATTATTATTATTAATATCAGAGGGATGCATGTCTAATTTTTATGGATCTTATTCAGATTGTCTCCTTTAATCCCAGTCAGCCTCGGCAGATGGCCGCTCACACTGAGCCTGGTTCTGCTGGAGGTTTCTTCCTGTTAAAAGGGAGTTTTTCCTCTCCACTGTCGCTACAAGCATGCTTAGTGTAAGGGATTGCCTTCGAATCAATGAGTCGATGCAATCAACTGGTTTTCCTAAGATAGAAAACTTTTAATCAATTTAACAGGATGATCTGGTTGAACTGTAAAGTTTCTTGAGATGACGTGTTATAGAAATAAACTGAATCAAATTAAAATATAATTTCTGACATCATTAAATTAATATGCCTAGTTCAAATGCATCTAAATCATTTACATCCTTGCCAATATGTATACCAAAATAAATCTGGTATTAAAGAAGATTTAATGAATACATTTGTCTAAGAATTCAATCCTGAAATAAATAAACTCTTAATTTTACAGTTGATATTTCTGTTTGCATAAAATAAGATAAAATGTTTACCTTGATTTGGTATGCGATATCTTCATTTCACTATATTTGGTCAAAATGAGAGTTTTTATTCCAAAAAGACGTATTTATTCATTAATGAATCCATCAGTATAACAGATAAAATAAAAGCTGAGTCCTAAAACCCTGCAGGTAAAGCAGAGTTGATCAATGTTTCCCGATCTGAGGTTCTGTGCCTGCCCTCCCGCTAACAGGAGCCAGTGTGCATGCATGCACGCGTTTCATGTGTGTAAGATAAAGCGTGTCTCTGTCTAAATATGGCCTCTCCACAGGTAGATCTGGCTGTGTGGGAGAAGCCAGATTGATGAGGACTTTAAGTAGACAGATATCTGCTTCCGCAGCTCCCTTTAACCTCAGGCCAGAACTTATGTTCTTAGTTAAAACAGGAATAAAACCCAAACTGCTGTGATTCTATTCAGACATAATGCTACCATTAGTATCATAGCTCTGCGCAGTAGTCACAGCCTTTATAATACTTCACCACAGTGAGTCTAACTGGCCTTCAGAGAGGGATTTAAAGCTTCACGGGAAATATAAAAATCACAGAACATTTCACCTCGCTCATTTAAAGCCAGAGTGACTCCTGACTATTTAGATCTCTTACTTCCAAGTCATCCTGTCAGTAGGAACTCATTTCTAGCAAGGAAACCTCTACTTAGAGTTCCCCAGTTCAGTCTGTAGCTTTCTCTTTGTTAAAACAGCAGCCCACACAGTTTGGGGCGAGCCTTTGTTTCAGCTTTGTATGCCAGCGGTCGGTTCCTCTTTTGAAACGTCTCTGCTGAAAGAAAAGACAAACTCGTCTGTCGCTGACATTATGGCTTCCTGGCAGCTTTTGCTTGTCTTTATAGCAACACTTTTATCACAGTGGAAGTCTTTATATGGGAGGGAGGGCAAACTGCAGAGACGATTTGCTTCTGTGTAGTAAAAAAAAGTTATCCTTGGGTAAATGTGAGGAATGTTGTTCATTCTGGACTTTTAAGAACCAAAAAGTAAAGTTTTTGAGTTATTTACATCAAAATCTGGAATGGGAGAGGATTACAGCATGATTTTTACTTAGGCTTTTTAAGGGACACACGATTAGTTTAAATGTTTGCCTAAATATGACTTGAGTTTCCTATTTATTTAAAAATTGTGTTTATTATTTTAATTTTTATTTTAGTTATTGTTTATTTGAAAGGGGACAATGTACATTAATCAACATTAAAACAATGTAAATATACCCGAGTTAGCCAAGGAGTGCTAATTTTCATCGGTAGTCCCCCAGCCAGGTTTAAAAAAGGCAACCTTAAAAATAAACACAAGTATAAAATCACAAGATAAAATTACATAAAAAACATTATGGTTAAGAAATACAATTCATTTAAAATAATTATAAATTATTTAAATGCACACAGAAAACCTTGCTGCTAAGGACGTGTATAAAATCATTATTACTAATAAAACTATACATTATTTGGCCCCAGTCAGCACAATGCATTGTGGGTTGATGGTGCGTTAGGTCCAACATTAGCATAGCTGTTTTTATCGTATTGTTTGGTGTAAATGAGTCAGTGCCGCACTGCTTTACTGCCTGAAAGTGTTCATGAGCCGTTATACACGAGATATCTGCTGGAACAAACAAAGATGGTCGTCCTGTGATCTGGTGTTTACTAAATTAGCTAGAGCTAACACCATTAGCAGAAGCTAACATGAAATCAAAATCAAATTGGACGATAATGAACCATCTTTCAGTCGTTATAACTTTTCTGATCTGTCGGAGAAAAAGTTTAAATCCTGATGCTAACCGCTAACAGCCTCAGTTATAAACTGGAGCTCTTTGTAACGTAGCCCTCTTTCTCCGTTTTGTCCTTCTCTTCTTTATCACCTTTTTTGATTTCTACATTGCCATCAATTTTAACACGCTCCTGTTCAAATTGAAAATGTTTAACGTTACTTCTTGGTGTTCTGGTTGGAAAGGGCTTGCACCATAAGACCTAGCATGTACCATTTACCCAGAATGCATTGCAGCATTAAAAAAACGTGATGTGCATGTAACAATATTGAAATTAAATCTATCAAAACTACGACGGAGAGATTTTTTTCTCTTCTGTTTTGAGAATAAAGTTGTAAAATTACCTTTTTTCTCGTAATTTTACGACTCTTTTTCTTGTTATTTTACAACTTTATTCTCGTAATTTTACGACTTTATTCTCGTAATTTTACGACTTTCTTCTCAAAATAAAAAATATAAAAAAAAAATCTCTAACCTGGCCCTAATAATCAGATCATGATTCAGATCAGAATCATGATATCTTGCAGAAGTGCCATTGATGTTTTGGAAGATAAACACTCCCGCCGGTGCCACCGAAATTCTGAAGTTCTCGCGAGTTCTTGATTACGCTCCCCCTTGCACTTTGGTGGGAAACTGCTGTGAATCCCTAGAAATTTCAGACCGATGGTGCAAAAGCATACCAGCAAAACTGGTTCGCGACCAGACCCAAGCGACATTTGATGTGTGCGGATGCAGAAGTGTAATCTGCCCTTAAATAAGGCTTTGAGAAATGAAGCATTTTGTAATAGATTTGCTGAAGAGCTTCATCAAAGCCTCATCTCGCCTCTGCTAGACGTATCCATCCATTGTTGATATAAATGTAGACTATGAATGTTATCAGTATGAGTTCAGGCTGTTTATTCAATCTACTTATTTAATCAAATCTGAGCCAGCAACTGCTAGTTATTTTTTTATTTTTATAATACCCATGGTGTTAAAGTTGTTTATTAATATCTGTTTCAGATTTAGCAGTAGGTAAATGTTTCTGTGTGATAATTTGAGAGAATTTGACCTGAAAAGTCTTTGAATTGGATGTAAACTAAGGTGTTTGAACCCTGGACTTGACTGAGGTTTTAATTACCGCTATTATGGATTCCTCTCTCATTTTTATTATAAACTTTGGGGCAAACTGCAATATGTGTCTTAATAATGACAATAAGTAGCATGCAGGCCTCTTTCTGTAGCTCTGCTGTTCATCCTGTGTACTGATCTTAACTCAGAGTGAGGGCGTTGTGAGAATGTACATATTTCTAACAAAGAATGCAGTATATGTGGTTTATTCACATCGTAGGGCTGAAATAAGAACTAGAATATCTGATTGTTGCTTTATAAGCTCGTAGCAATGGGAGCTTTTAGTGGCAGTGATAACCCAGTGTGATGTTTTCAGGAAGCGCAGACTGCAGAGAACAGACGATTACTGCGTCTGTTACAGAAGTGTAGGACTACGGCACCTGCTGACACGTCTGGGGCGCGTTTCCCAGCTTCCTGACAGACGCGCTGTTGGATGGAGGTTTAAAGACATATAACAGTTACAGCTCAGCTGAGGTTAGGGGTTTATAATTCAGCTGGTAAATGCTGGGATGTTACCACATTTCTATCTATTAAAGGATGTCCAGAGTGATCTCTATCCTCTCTGCAGGTAAATACACACCGTAGTAGATAGTAGTAGTAGATTTTAGACTGATTATGATTATATGGAGACTGAAGGTAGATTTTTGGGAATTGAATGATTAAAACACAATTGTCCTACCCATGTGTGGCCCAAACACAAAATTGATAATAAAAAAACAATAAAAAAAAGTGTTCAAATGCAATTTTTTGAGTCTCAAATATTTTATTTGCATTCAAAAACTATTTTCTATGATTGAAAACGTTTATCTTTTCATTGAAGTTACTTTTTTTGTTGATTCTGTTTGTTTGTTTGTTTGTTTGTTTGTTTGTTTGAAGCGACTTCTTTTTTGTTTGAATAATAAAGACACAAATGATCAAAAAACAATGTTACTTCAATTAAAAAAGTTGCTTTAAACAAAAAAATGCTGCACTTCTATCAAATAAAACATTTTCAATCAAAGAAAAGCAAGTGTTCAAATGTCGTTTTTTGAGTCTCAAATATATTTTTGCATTCAAACACTTTTTTTCTTTGATTGAAAAGGTTTTTTTTATTGAAGTGAAGATTTTTTTTTGATTGAAAATTATATTTTTTGATTGAAGCAACCTTTTTTTTTTGATTGAATAATAAAGAAACAAATCTACCTTCATAGAGACTAAAACATTTTCACCACCTCCACTCAATATATTAAAGACTGAAAAACTAAAGGGAAAATTTAGGGAAAAAAAGAGAATATAAAGTAAAGGCAGAAGCAATGACAAAGTTCTGTTCTACAGATTGCTTCAACCTTAATTCTTGTAAATTTAGTCTACGCCCAGATGTAAAGGTCTTTGCCTGTAGAAACAAACACACTTAGGAAAATAATGTAAACAAGATACACTATATTGCCAAAAGTATTTGCTCACCCATCCAAATTATTGGAATCAGGTGTTCCAATCACTTCCATGGCCACAGGTGTATAAATTCAAGCACCTAGGCATGCAGACTGTTTTTACAAACATTTGTGAAAGAATGGGTCGCTCTCAGGAGCTCAGTGAATTCCAGCGTGGAACTGTGATAGGATGCCACCTGTGCAACAAATCCAGTCGTGAAATTTCCTCGCTCCTAAATATTCCACAGTCAACTGTCAGCTGTATTATAAGAAAATGGAAGTGTTTGGGAACGACAGCAACTCAGCCACGAAGTGGTAGGCCACGTAAACTGACGGAGCGGGGTCAGCGGATGCTGACGCGCATAGTGCGAAGAGGTCGCCAACTTTCTGCAGAGTCAATCACTACAGACCTCCAAACTTCATGTGGCCTTCAGATTAGCTCAAGAACAGTGCGCAGAGAGCTTCATGGAATGGGTTTCCATGGTCGAGCAGCTGCATCCAAGCCATACATCACCAAGTGCAATGCAAAGCGTCGGATGCGGTGGTGTAAAGCACGCCGCCACTGGACTCTAGAGCAGTGGAGACGCGTTCTCTGGAGTGACGAATCGCGCTTCTCCATCTGGCAATCTGATGGACGGGTCTGGGTTTGGCGGTTGCCAGGAGAACGGTACTTGTCTGACTGCATTGTGCCAAGTGTAAAGTTTGGTGGAGGGGGGATTATGGTGTGAGGTTGTTTTTCAGGAGCTGGGCTTGGCCCCTTAGTTCCAGTGAAAGGAACTCTGAATGCTTCAGCATACCAAGACATTTTGGACAATTCCATGCTCCCAACTTTGTGGGAACAGTTTGGAGCTGGCCCCTTCCTCTTCCAACATGACTGTGCACCAGTGCACAAAGCAAGGTCCATAAAGACATGGATGACAGAGTCTGGTGTGGATGAACTTGACTGGCCTGCACAGAGTCCTGACCTCAACCCGATAGAACACCTTTGGGATGAGTTAGAGCGGAGACTGAGAGCCAGGCCTTCTCGTCCAACATCAGTGTGCGACCTCACAAATGCGCTTCTGGAAGAATGGTCAAAAATTCCCATAAACCTACTCCTAAACCTTGTGGACAGCCTTCCCAGAAGAGTTGAAGCTGTTCTAGCTGCAAAGGGTGGACCGACGTCATATTGAACCCTATGGATTAGGAACGGGATGTCACTTAAGCTCATATGTGAGTCAAGGCAGGTGAGCAAATACTTTTGGCAATATAGTGTATATAACCAGAGAAATTTTGACAGCAGAGTTTATAATAGGAAGCCAGATGAAAGCAGAAGGCTGCAGAAAACCAACGTACACCTGCTGTATGTTCCCTCATTGGTCTATATCAGTGGTTTCCATCCCCTGCTCCTCAGAACCTATGGAGGAAAAAAAGTGCCAAAATTAAATAAATAAATACAGCATTAAATAAATAATTAAATGTGTCAATAATTAATTAAATGTGGAATAAAATAAATAAATGTGTCATTCATTAATTAAAACCACGTCACTAATATAAAGTGCCACAATTAAATAAATAAATACAGCAATAAACAATTAAATGTGTAATTCATTAAATAAATAAGGAATTAAATATATAAATGTGTCATTAATTAAATAAAATACGTCTTCATTTTATTAAAAAAAATATATAATTATTTCAGAGTGCATTTAATTATTTCATGGTCCTGTGTCGCAGTGCATCGAAACCATTAAAAGAATCTGTCAAACTCACCCATCAAAGTTATGGGGCGGTTATCTAACATCTGATTGGTCACCCTGCACATTAAGGCAAAGCAAATCTATACAGAGACTCGATTCGCGTTAACCCCTCCCAAATCACTGGAGAGTTTGTATAAAGCAACAAAAATGACGCCGGCAACGCTTGTGGGCATTTTCAGCGAATGTCAGTGATTTTAAAGTAATTTTGAGTAATAAATAAAAAACTTTTTGCGATCATTGCATTTGCCTACCGGGCAAGTGCAAATTTGTACTCTCCCAACAATAAAAACTACTTGCCCCGGGCAATCGGGCAATGGTTGACATCCAGCCCTGTGTTATGTTATTATTATTGTCTTGTTGCTGCATTTATTTTGTCAGGGGAAACTAATCCTGAGTCAGTTAAAAGTCAGGGAATTCTGAAACTATGTAAGACTGTGGAAACCCTGTATAAAATAACTGTATAATGATTCTCTAGAAAAGTCACATTATATTAATAGTATTATTTTAACATTACAATTTATATTTTTCCAAGCACACAACAGTTTAAAACAAAGTTTAGCTTGAAAAGAATGTGCAGGAAGGATTGAAAAGCATGTTAACACGGTAATGTAGGCTTGAGTTCATTATCTGACGCATGCATATAAACGCATGGAAACTTAAAAAATACTCAATTACAAAAAACATTAAAAAAACAAACATGTTTCATTGATATATATACAAAAATGAATATTAGGAACTGTATTTATCAAGTAAAAATTGTTTCTGGGCAAATGAAATGTGGCAAGTGGTAAAATTCCTTAACGTCAACCGCTGCTTTAAAATATATTTGGGTTCTGATTTGATTAGAAATGATTCAACAAACCGATTACATTCGTATCAAACTGCCATGATGCTGAAATGTTTGCTTACTGATCGTTTGCATGTTTATTAACATTGAACCTATGTGTGCTGTAGCTCAGGTTTATTTTAGTGCAGATTTATTGAAGTGTAGATGGCTAACTGGAACCAAAAACCATAAAAAGATGTTAGTTGGAGATTTTGATGGAAAGTGAAGGTACCAACTAAAATCTGGTGTGCACACTGATATCATGGTGCTCTCAGCCCGCTCAATAGGCAGGATTAAGAGCGGCTTCAGCGTGATTTTTGGATTATTGCAGCATAGCATCAGGATTAGATTTTCTGGATGAAATGGGATAAATAAGCGGTAGGACGTTCCAACAGACCAGGGAATTCCTCGAGGACGGGATGCTGATATGTTTGCTCCTCTCTTTCTTCTCCTTTTCTCCAGACCTCCCAAGTTTCTCTGACCCCCACATTCCTCTAGTGGCTCGTGAGATCATGCAGCGAATGATCCACCAGTTCGCTGCCGAATATACCTCAAAAACTACTCAGGAAGACCTGCCCCTGCCCAACGGCACCATGAAGGACCAAAGCCTGTCGAGAGCGGTGTCTCTGGCACCGGCCCCGAGCTCCCCGGTCGGGCCCACGCCCAGCTCCCCTCCATCGTCTGCCTCCTCCTCTCCGTCCCCGACTCCGGGAGCCGGCTTTAGCCCCACCTCCGCTGCTATCACCTCAGCGCCCACCGGCATCCAGAGCAGCAACGGGACAGGAGTTGGCATCATCGGAGGAGGAGGAGGTACGGCTGCTGCCTCTGCACAGAACCCGGTCCTCAGCAAGCTTCTCATGGCGGACCAGGACGGGCCGCTGGACCTCACCGTCAGAAAGGCCCAGGCGGATCAGGAGCCCAGCCAGCAGGGTGAGAGAAACATGTTTCCTCCTAGAATATCTAATCCAGCATCTGCACCCATGCAAAGTAATTTCTATTTACCTTCATGAAGCGTTTATTCAAATCAGCACATTAACAGATCAGCCCAAAAAGGTTTTTATCTGCTGTTAAAGCGAGGTAGTTCTGAGGGCTCAGTGTGTTTAATCAAAGCAAAGCAGCAGGGGGTCCGCAGTCAGAGCGTCGCACCAAATTCAGCCTGGCAGCAGCAGCAGCTCTCCCTCCGCCCTCCGCCGCAGTGGGACCGGTCATACACTTTAATACGGGCTTTTCGGAATCTGCTTACAGTAAGCCTCCTTCATTTTTACAACAAAAGATAAATTTGCTGTACATCTCGTCGTGCATCTCTCTCCGTCACACACACACACGAGTTCAGAATCACTTTTTGAGGATTTCTGGCTCAGATTATCCTCAAATCGTACACATACACTGCATTCCTATAAAACAATGTTCACAGGCGGAGTAAAGCTTTGTTTTAGCTCTAGGGATCATTAACCCATCTGGGCTGTGTAGCTGCTGCTCGTTACTCCAACCAAAATAAACAAATCCACCAGTCCTTCTTTACTCGGACTGTCAGAACCAGGACATTTGTTTCTGGCCCATATTAGGAAGCCTTCATCCTGATAGGTCGTAAGGATGGGCATTAAATCACAGCCTGCTGCTGCTGACAATGTTTCATGCAGGAAGCAATCAGTGGTCAGCAGAAGCAGCTCAGAACCACAGAGATAACTACGGATATGGTGCAAAAATTTCACTTTTTTTTTTTACAAAGATAAGCTCTTATAGCAGCCAGTTGGTGATATTTCAACAGCATAAACTATGGTGGTCCACAGGTGCAAACGAGCTGCAAAACATGTGAATGCAAAAAAACATGCTGTAAACGAAAAATGCTGCAACAAAACAAAAGCAAATAAAACATTCTGCAAGCAAAAACAAAAATTATGAAATATAGATGAAGATTCTCAGTCATTCAGGACATTGTCATTCCGTAAAAGTTCAAAAAAAAAAAATTCACTGGACTTGGTTTCCAAGATTTGAAGAAATGTCTGAGGTGGCGAAACGTCTTCAAATCTTGGAAACCAAGTCCAGTGAATTTTTTGTTTTGTTTTTTTTGTTATTGAACTTTTATGGCATGAAATATAGAAAGAAAATGATGCTAATAGACCGTTAGAGGGCGTCTAACAAAGAAAAGATCATATACCAATTTATTTATTTATTTTTTTACTCCTAGACATTTGAGTTAAATTAACCCTAAAACATTGTTTTTATTTATTTACTGATTCTTTCCCAACCCTATATCCACCTTTTTTAACTTTACAAAGTAGATTTTTTTTTGACAGATTTCAAGCTGCTACCTCTGTGTTAATGAATTTCTGGAACCACAACGCTATCACTGCAAAATAAAAGAACAAATATAGATTTTAATTTAGAGAGCAACAAAAAGTAAATAAAATAACACAACATTAAGTTTTTAACTCAACAATTATTGTACCCTGAATTTGTGACAGGAAGCACTCGCTGCCATAGGGTTCGAATTCTTTTGTAGCTTTACTTATGCCGTACTTATGCAGCCTTAGCTCCTATCATGAGCACATACTCTTTGAAAAAATAAAATCTTTTCAAAGGAATGCACTTCTTTCAGTCAGATACCTGTAAACATGTTGCAGACTGAGCTTACAAACCACAGCGTGTTTACACAGACCTGCACACATCCCCAGCATGCGCGTGGAGCTGAGGCGGCGCACGCTGCGGCTGCTCCGCTTCACAGGAGAGACGTTTTCAGAGGGAGTTCTCTCACTTAGAGGCTGTAAACCAGCTGTTTCCGTGCATCCCTCAAATTCTTTTAATTAACTTATAAACATGTTCACATAACCACACATGTGCGGAGGCTAAACACATGCATGTGCTCACCTGTGCTGCCTAGCTCCAGGACATTTCTCCCATTGGTGGAAGAGCCGTCTGATCAATCAGCCACTCTGCTTGATGCACAGCCGCCAGAGCCGAGAACGTCTGGTGGAAATCTCAACCCGAAAGAGCATGTTAAATGTTCTGCACTATTAAGATGTTGAACTAAAGAAAGAAACTGAGACTTTAGCTATCTGAGCTGCAGATATTTGACTGGAAGCTTTGCTCAGTGTCAGAAGCTTTGGCAATTTTTCATTCAGTCTCATAAAACTACATAACCTCAATAAAAAATTACTATTTTCACATAGTTCTTCTTTTGAGGTGTCTGTTGATCTGTGACAGAATAAAATTGATTGGTTTGTCCTTATTCTGGGGCTGTTTTCTTCGAAATATCCAACCAAAATGTAGAAAAGATCCTTCGTCAACCGTAAAACAGCTGTGAATTTGGACGGTCTGAAGGCGCGTTCACACCAAACGCGATCTGGGCGTCTTTAGACGGTCTGAAGGCACGTTCACACCGAACCGAATCTGGCCTTCTTTGGACGATCTGAAGGCGCGTTCACACCAAAAGCGATCTGGGCGTCTTTGGACGGTCTGAAGGAGCGTTCACACCGAACCGAATCTGGCCTTCTTTGGACGATCTGAAGGCGTGTTCACACCAAAAGCGATCTGGCCTTCTTTGGACGATCTGAAGGCGTGTTCACACCAAACGCGATCTGGCCGTCTTTGGACGGTCTGAAGGCGCGTTCACAGCGAATGCGATCTGGGCGTCTTTGGACGATCTGAAGGCGCGTTCACAGCAAATGCGATCTGGCCGTCTTTGGACGGTCTGAAGGCGCGTTCACACCGAACCGAATCTGGCCTTCTTTGGACGATCTGAAGGCGTGTTCACACCAAAAGCGATCTGGCCGTCTTTGGACGATCTGAAGGCGTGTTCACACCAAACGCGATCTGGCCGTCTTTGGACGGTCTGAAGGCGCGTTCACAGCGAATGCGATCTGGGCGTCTTTGGACGATCTGAAGGCGCGTTCACAGCAAATGCGATCTGGCCGTCTTTGGACGGTCTGAAGGAGCGTTCACACCGAACCGAATCAGGCCTTCTTTGGAAAGTCTGAAGGCGCATTCACAGCGAATGCGATCTGGGCGTCTTTGGACGATGTGAAGGCATGTTCACACCGAAAGCGATCTGGGCGTGTTTGGACGGTCTGAAGGCGCGTTCACACCGAAAGCGATCTGGCCGTCTTTGGACGGTCTGAAGGAGCGTTAACACCGAACCGAATCAGGCCTTCTTTGGACGATCTGAAGGCGTGTTCACAGCGAATGCGATCTGGCCGTCTTTGGACGATCTGAAGGCGTGTTCACACCGAACGCGATCTGGCCGTCTTTGGACGGTCTGAAGGCGAGTTCACAGCGAATGCGATCTGGGCGTCTTTGGACGATGTGAAGGCATGTTCACACCGAAAGCGATCTGGGCGTGTTTGGACGGTCTGAAGGCGCGTTCACACCGAACGCGATCTGGCCTTCTTTGGACGATCTGAAGGCGTGTTCACACCGAAAGCGATCTGGGCGTCTTTGGACGGTCTGAAGGCGTGTTCACACAAAAAGCGATCTGGGCGTCTTTGGACGGTCTGAAGGCGCGTTCACACCGAACGCGATCTGGCCTTCTTTGGACGATCTGAAGGCGTGTTCACACCAAAAGCGATCTGGGCGTCTTTGGACGGTCTGAAGGCGCATTCACACCGAACGCGATCTGGGCGTCTAAAGCTGAAACATGGACGCTGCACTGCAAAACATTGAAATCTAAAAAAATTATTTTTTTATTGAAATAAGTGCATTTTGTTTCTTTTTGAGAAGACAGGTGGGACACTTTGCCAATGGAACAAGACAATGTACATTTAAAAAAAAATTATAATAAATAAATAACTGCATTGTCTTATTTCAGTGCATATTATCTAATTATCTTATTTGAAGAGTAAAATATCTCATTCCATTGGAAGATCATCTTATTAACCTACTCAAATTAAGAGTAAATATACTTAATTTTGCAGATTTGACACTCTGGATGTTCTGTTCTGTAGCTACACACTGCAAAAAAATGTAATCCCAATAAGTCATTTTTTTCTTAAAATAAGTGAATTTTTTTCTTGAATTAAGGAAGTAAGTGAGAAACTTTGCCAATGGAACAAGAGAATTTACATTTAAAATAAGAAAAAAATAATTATATAGTCTTACATCAAGTGCGTATTATCTAATTATCTTATTTTAAGAGTAAAAATCCTCATTCCATTGGCAAATCATCTTATTTACCTTCTCAAATTAAGGGTAAATACACTTAATTTAAGACATTTTTACTCATTTTTAGATAATTTTTGCAGTGCAAACTAGAGAGCAGCTTGTCTTTATTTACTTTGATGAGTTGAAAGAACAGTTTTAACCAGTTTTAAGCGAAAAAGTCCAGCGCAAAACATCGTCTGTCAGTTCATCAGGATTAAGATCCTTCTAAAATATACAGCTCTTGTTTGGAGCTCAAGCATACCAGCGAGCCGCAGCGCTGGGAATCTTATATACGGTAAAAGCTATATATATGTATATATATATATATAAAGCTTTTAGTGCTTGCCTTTATAAAGCCAGAAAATACTGATAGGAATATGACTTCAGTTAACAGAAGTGCATGTCTGTGCCTTATGGGACTGCATTAACTCCCTGGAACAAAGTTTATTCCCCCAACTGTCGCTGTAACACTTCCAGCATCTCTTTAACTCAAGCCCAGAAGGCTTATAAGGCTGGCCTTATCTCCATGCCCAATGCTGCGCACACGGTCAGATTAAATTTTGTGCTGCGACGGAGATCACTCTGTTTTCTTCTTTAGTATTACCTAATGAAGCTGTTGCAGATGAGCGAGGTAGCTCGTGCCCTGTGACCATATATGGGGTTGTCCGTGTCAGAGGGGTGAAAAGGTCAGCAGCTCCTCACGGATTAGACTCTCCTCATGAACCTATTCCTCCTCACCAGATGTTTTCTGGCTCTGACATCAAATTGGAGAACTTACATTTATTTATTTAGTC